TCTAAATTGCCCTTAGGTGTGAACGGTTGTCTGTCTCTCTGTGTTAGAACTGCAACAGACTAGCCGCCTGTCCAAGGTGTACCCCACCTCTTCCCCTTGCACTCATGCAACCCTGCTGAGGATAAGCGTTTTTTTGAGTGATGCTTTGGTGCCCTCTAGTCAATAAAGATGAAAATTACATGCTGCGAGTTTAAACTGAAAACAATAGAAACTTGATTGGTTAAAACTTGAAATGATTGATTCATGTAGTATTGTATTCATCAGGATGTAGAGTGTGTGTTACATCAGTATTATAGTTTATATTTGATGGATACAGCATGAATATAGTTCATATCTGTGTGTTTGTGTTTAGGAAAAACCAAGTGGAAGATCATCTGGTGGAGCAGAGCTGTGGTCTGAAGAGTGATAACCTGCGCTCAGTAAAAGGGAAGGAGCTGTTCAAGAGCAGCCAGAACCTGGTAAACACACACACACACACACACAATGTAGCTTCACTTTGAATCCTAATAAGATTTTTTTTTTTTTAATACCAAAATTTCATACAAAAAACTACATCTCAGTAGTTTCATACAGTCGTTTGGAATGTTGTATTCTATGTTTGAAATGTTGAAATAATCTCCATAAATTAAACATAAAGCCACTGCAGGAACTCACCTCAGACAGGTGTAGTTGAGATAAATGTAAAGGAAAGGTTGGGGAGAAGGAAAACACATTGCTGGGGTTAGCTGTGTGAATATTGTGAATTAAACTCTGTCTTTCTTCTCTCAGGTCTACCCACTGCTTGGCTTTCCAAATCCAGCAGTCTCTCAGGCCTCTGAGCGTCTGATCAAAGAACATCAAACTAACTATGGCAAAACCTCCAGGATTCTGCAGCAGGTAGGCCGACACACAGCTCAAGAGAAAAATTATCCAGATCTTGTCCAGAGTGTGGAAGGAAAGAAAACTGCTATCCTTGTTCCATCAGCAGTTAGTTCTAGTTGAAATATAATTGATTCGAGCTGAAATTCCATTATTTGTAGTTGAAGCAGCAAGGAAAATGTGCAAAGTTTACTTTAGACTTCTGTTTTGAGTCTATAGGCTATAGTGTAGTCACCCCCAGTGGCCAGCCTGTGTCGGTGTGCCTGTGTTACTCTGCAATTTATTGCTTTCCTCTGCAAAGTATTTAACTTAACTGATTCCTCAGTTACTCAATAGAAAAATCAATAGACTGTTCAATTACTCAAGTAATTGACTGCTACAGAAGCTCGAGGGATAAGGTGACCTATGAAGATAACTAAAGCCATCTTGAATGATTTGATGGTGGTTGAAGAG